GGGGGGGGGGAGAGTGCTTTGAAATTGTAATTTTGTTTTTGTTGCCTCTTCTGTTTTTTTTGGTGATTTCTCATCACTCATAGTTTATCCTTTGTACTCATTTCTATGAATAAATTTTCTTCTTATTTACTACAAGAAAACATTTCCATCTTTCCAGTAGAACAACTAACCAATTCAAAATCTATATTTATGCTCATCTTACCTGTCTGGCCGATATGTTCTTGCAGATGCCATCTCATACAGTCGATGGCCCATGACAAGGCTTGAAAAATCCGGCCATCTGCTACCGCCATTGTTAAAACCTGGAAAGAATGCATCTGCTTCTACTGAAACAATATAATCAAGAGCATCCCAGAGTAACCTGTGTGCTTTCATTCTCAGATCCATGAGTGAAGGGTCAGGTTCAGTGTCTGTCTCAGCAACCCAGCCATACCAACCTTCCTTCTCATGCCGATAAATAGGTCTATCTGGAGGTGGAGGAAGAGGACGAGGTCGAGGACCTGCCTTCTTCCATTCTTTTTTAAGTTGCTCTTCATTTTTGGCTGGAGGAAACTGAAATGTATCTGAAGGAAGAGGGCCCTCCGGGCCAAATAAGTTGGACAACTCTTGTTTGCTGCACAAGGATGTGCGGTCAACCAAGTTAGCATACATGGCACGTAGAGGGATCAGAACCCGTTGCCCCCCAAATGTTTCAGAACCAGCAAGGTATATTATGGTATTAGGCGGATAGCCCATTGCTCGAAGGAGAAGACCAACCTGCAACAATCCCAATAACAACATCTAAGCCAGAGGATCTCCATAACCATCGAATAGAAATACAAGGGAGAAAAAAACCTGCTTTCAGTATAATTAAATGAGTTCTCTTACTCCAACAACCACATTCTTTTGAAGAGGAAAATAAGAAGAAAAAGGATAAGGGGACCTAGCATAAGACATGTCCTATACACAAGGACATATCCTTGCATGTTTGACCAATAAGTAAATACCATTCTTTTAAGGGAAAAAAGAAAATAAAAACAAGGTTCTAATTTTTCTATATTCTAAAATACAGACTTCCACCTCAGTTTCTAAAAGTTTCCATTTTACAATTTTGGCAAGATCTTAAACAGAACATACGGTAACCTGACTTGAATGGAACTATTAAAACCTTGGGGATATTCGAAATATAATCCACAAAAACATGTTCAATCAAAGAGAAATGGATCAGCAATTTGACAATTAACATTACCAATAACAGAAAATAAAACTATTATCCTTAGTGTACCTCTTCTGGCATGAGAGGGCATGAACCATTTATTTTTCGCAGGTGGGAATCAATGTTCAATTCTTCATTAACTATTCCTTGTTTGATCATCTGTGTTCTTCGGTACTGTATAAGCTCACTGTGCACATCCTAGACAAGCATATATTACAAAGAGTCATGGAAAATAGTAAAAGAAATAAAGAAAAAGAAGATTTAGTGTCAATTTTCAAAAAAAAAAAAAGAAGATTTAGTGTCAATTGCACATCCTTTTCAAGTAAAACTGCACCACAAAAATACCCACCAACTAGTAAACAAAAGCTGCTAACTTACAGCTTTCCATCTCATATACCTTTTAATTAATCAATACATGACCAAAGAAAGAAAAAGAGAAGAAAAACCCAGAGAAAGAAAGAATTATAGAAAAATGTACAGTAAATTAATTACCTATAGATAAAAGTGGTAGTTGCACCCTTCAGTCACCTTTTCTGACTATTTTCATTTCATTTGCAACCCTAATAATTTTAAAGTATTTCCTTTCCTATCCTTCACCATTCTCCTCCCTGTTCTATCAAAAAACACCTACTTTTATTTCACTCTTGACATGTTCAATCCAGCACTCAAAGGCATGGTATATTTAGTGCACATGCCCATAACTAGAATTAGAAAAGGGTGTGATGGGATATTCATATAGGCTAAAGGCATCCCTATTACAAAATCCAGTAGGAGTTAGAGCTGAGAAACTGTAGGGACCAAATCTTGTTGTTTCATCACATATGACCTAATAGTACAAATATGTTTACTTGCAACCTTGAAATAAAATATTCCAATCAAGTTGCACTTCTGCAATGGGTTCAAAGCCACCCCACAGACCTTGTGTCTATGCCATCATGTTCATCAAGGAATAGTAATATAGAAAAATGGGACTTTAGCCCCTTTGTGAAACTCTCCCTACTTTATTCATTCCATTTACAACACTTAAAATTTTTAGGTTTTTATTATCTGCTCTTCTATCCTTCTCCCTTCCTCTGTCTGTTCTTTCAAAGCATACCTACCTTGTTCACTCTTCATGTGTCCAACCCAGATTTCAGAGACAGCAAACCACAGACATGCTCAGAGAAAACACTTGAAAAAGATGCAACAAAATATCAAGAGCTTCAAGCAGTAACAATATCATAAAAAGGACAAAAAGCCTTAAAAATAACCTGAAAAAGCTCTGCACAGCCATGATATGCTAAGGCTTCTCTTGTTAAGCCGGGATGAAAAGCTAAGTAAGGTTGTCCCCAAGCTCGTAACCTGAAGAAAATAGCAAAAGCTGCTATTGATTAGTAGAAGACTAGCTGCAGCTAGAAATAAATATATGTATACTAAGCTGCAATTGATTAAAGCTACCATTCTCTACAGGCCAAGAAACATGGGACCAAGATAACATGCTGCATTTTCTTGCTAATATATTTGGTATGCACAGAATGAGAAATGTTCTAAACAACATAATATTTCTGTTGAGTGATTCAAATCATATTCAGATTTTATTTGAGAATGTGATGTTACTAATGGTAGCCCCCTCCCTTCTGCTACAAACGCAGATTCTTTAACCTGGCATTATATGTTAAACCTTCTGTTTCTCGGATTCTATTCTCGGATGGGGGGGAGGGGGGGTATTCTTTCTTCTAATCAATTTTCTTATAGCTGTATCTGGTTATCGACTAATCTGGATGTTAATGTTGTTTTAGGTGGACAACAGAATTCTGCACATTCTTCTGCTTCCATTTAGGAAGCTGAACTTTTTGCAATCTAGCAAGGCCTGATAGAAGCTAAGAAGTTTCACTGAAAAGATGTTGTTGTCTGCTCAGATTCCTTAACCATTATCCAGGCCTTAACCATTATCCAAGAACCTCCCATTTTCTAATGTTGTTCATTCATTCATTCCAATAAAATATCTTCTCAGGAGCGGAGTAGAACCTCCTTATTTCTCTTTACACTAGTGGCTGATGAGTGATGAGTTCAGTCAACTAATCACTAGAGCTGATAAGAGAGGACTCATCAGAGGTGTGAGAGTGGCATTTCTCACTTATAGTTTGCAGATGATATATCATCATTTTCTTTGAAGGCATTAGTATAGAGGTGGTTCACAATCTTAGTTTGCTAATAAGCTATTTTGAAGGTTTTTCAATCTTTGGATCAATATGGGAAAAGGCTGCTTGGTTGGAATAAACTTGCATTAGAGCAGGTTGAAGATTATTCTAGGATTTTGGGATGCCCTATATCAGCTTGACCTCAGGACCAAAAACATGCCAAAATAAAGATTCTTATCCAGTCTGCCCCTACAAACTCCAAATAGATGGAACCAATATTGGGTAAGGGTCTTTTTTTTCATTAGAAACTACCAAGGCCTTGCATTGAAGTATAGCTCCTTTGTGTTCAATCCAAGAAACACTAATTCTCAAGGTATACACTCAATTTTTTCATATCTTTTCTGTTTAAGACAAGTTTGGTCTTCCAAAAGAATTTAGAATGAAGTTGATCAGTTGGAATGTGAGTGGATTAAGGAGTGCCACCAAGAGGAGATTAATAAGGGATACTCTTAGGAAGGAGAAGCTGGATTTGATTTTGATTCAAGAAACAAATTTTTATAGGTTGATCGGAGATGGATCAAAAGCAGTTGAGGAATCAGGGGCTCGAGTTGGTCATTTGCACCTTCTTGGGGTGCATCTGGAGGAATCCTTACCATTTGGAAAAATGGGTTGGAATGTTTGGAAGAATTGGTGGGACAATTTTCTATTTCAATAAAATTTAGCAGATCCAATGATAGCAAGGAGTAGGCTTTGACAAATGCTTATGGGCCAAATTCCTATAGAGACAGGGATCTTTTTTCGGAAGAGTTGGGGGCAGTTAGAGATGTGTGGGAGGAGGGGCCTTGGTGTTTAGGAGGTGATTTTAATGTGATAAGGTTCACTTCAAAGAATAACTATAAGCATGAAGAATTTCAATGCTATTGTGGATATCTTTAAATTAAAGGAGCTACCACTATTACAAGTAGAGTATACCTAGTCAAACTTTCAGGAGCCCTCGACTTGATCTAAACTGGATAGGTTCCTTCTTTTAGTAGATTGGGAAGAGATGTTGGAAAGTCTAGTCTCTCAAGCCTTGTCTAGGGTAACTTCTGATCACTGTCCTATTAGCCTAACTCAAGAGCTGTCCTACGGTCATCCTTTGCCTTTCAGATTCACTAACATGTGGTTGGAAGATCCCACATTTGTGGAAATACCTAAGAGTTGGTGGAAAGAAGCTAGGGGTAGTGGTACAAGAAAGGGTTAAGTTTCTCTAGGTCCTTAAAAAAGTTGAAAGAGAAAATTAAGGCCAAGAACAAAGAGTAGTTTGGGAGGATGGAGGAAACAAAGAAGAGAATCTCCTCAAGGATTGCGGAGTTGGATAGTAAGAAAGCTACGGGAGAGATTAGTGGGGAGGAAAGGGATAAAAGATGGAAGCAAAAATTGAACTGGAAAAATTGATAAGAAAAGAGGAAATTTCTTGGAGACAAAAGTCTAGATGTAAATGGCTTGTGGAGGGAGATGGAAACGCAAAATATTTCCATTCTCTAGCTAGTGCCAAGAGGAGAAAGAATCAAATACCTAGCATTGAAGTGGATAGTCAGGAGGTAACGAGGAGGAAATAGTTAAAATTTCAGTGGACCATTTCAAAGGCTTCATTGCCACCTCAGGGGCGAGGAGATCAATTTTCTCAGAAATGGCTTGGGACTAAGTGCCCGAAGACATTGTTGCAAATCTGGAAAATATGTTTACACTTGAGGAGCTCTAAGAGGCAGTGTTTTCGATGGAAAGATCCAAAGCCCCGAGGCTGGATGGATTTTCCATGAATTTTTATCATGAATGTTGAGAGATCATAAAAGATAATCTAATGGAAGTTTTCAATGCACTTTTTCAAGGGGAAATTTCTCAAGGTGCAAACTCAACTTTCATAGCAGAAGCCTTTACAAGTATGGTTCGTAATATTGATATCAATAAACATTTTGCCATGTAGAGTTGGAGAAATTTCAGAGATATTTTTCTAATTCCACTAAGATATTTGGAAAATCTAAAAGGTCAAGAAAGTTTTCTAGAAACATTAAATTAGTCAATAAACCTTCAAGACATCACTTTTTTTTATCAATAACAGGAAGCATTTCATTAAAATAAGAGGTTAAAATACAAAGAAGGGGAGATAAATAGCTTAATTCCCCAAGGGATCAGAAAAAAAAACATTCAAAAGAAAGAGAAGAACAGTAACAAATGAGCCCAGAAAATAGAATCCCCATGCACCCCTTGCCTAGCTAGTCCATCAGCGAGGGGTGTCCTTTGTCAATGTCCTTTGTCAACCACTTAATCTTTCTCTTCTCATTGTTGTAGTTCTAGAGCCCAATCTTATTTTCCTTTAACCAACCCTCTACTATCTCAGAATCTCCTTCTATGACCAGCTTATTGGTATTTAGGTCCCTAACTCTTTTTATCCCTTCCACAGCTGCCATTACCTCAGCCCTAAGGGAGTCTCCCACTCCAATTGGACCAGAAAACATGGCTATTATATTCCCTTGTTCATTCCTTAGAACTTCCCCAATGCCAAAAGGCCTTGGATTTCCCAAACTGCTATCGTTGAAATTCAGCTTAATGAAGCCATGGGGGGAGGATTCCATAATGGACTTAAAGTCAACTTAGTTGGGACTGACTTCGCAATTTCCTTCCAGTTTCTTAGCAAACCATCCACTGAGAAGTCTGCAAACTCCAATGATTTCAGCCAATGTATTACCCTTATGTGGATCACTTCCATCACACTTTCTAGGCTTCTCTCCTTGTCTGAAAAATATTATTGAGTTTCTTTCCTCCCAAATAAACCAGCTTATAGTGGCCCTAACACATCTCCACAAAATCCTTCCTCTTTTCATTGGCCAGCTGAAGGAAGAAGAGGTAAATAAGCTTTGCACATTCAGAGGGGGATTCCATCAGCACCCAAACAACCATTCCCAAATACATTTTGCAAATTGGCAGGAAATTAATAAGTGGTAACCAGATTCACCATCAGCCTTACAAAGAACACATCAATGAGGAGATAAACATCTATTAGGTCTCTTTCTTTGAAACAAATCACCTATGTTGATTCTTTCCAGAAAAGCTTCCCAACAAAATCTCCGAACCTTAGAAGGGATAGGCTGACACCAGACTTCTTTAACAGGGAAGGACAAACCAGAAAGGTCAATTGGTTGAGTAACGGCCTTAAAGAATGAGGCACAAGTGAAAATTTAAAGCTCCAAAAAACCATAACAAAGACTTATATAAAGCAAATAGGAAAAACTTAAGCAATTGTCTCCCTTTTGGTCTTAGCCATCTTCTCTTCTTTATATATGCCAATTTTTTGCAATTTTAACTTTTGTCTCTATTGTTACTATATGTTTTGATTATATTGAGAATACTCTTTTGTAGTTATATCCATTTTCTTTTTCTTTTGAATTATAGTGACTTAGTAAGTGAATATTATCAAAGTAGTAAGCCAATTATCCAATCACTAATTCCTTGTTGGTTCTTTTAGGAAAATATTTTTAAAAAATATGATAATTTTAATGAAATATTGAAAAATTTTAAGTAATATTTTAAAATTTTAAAAGTTTTAAGTAATATTTTAAATTTTAAACTTTAAAAATACAATCTATCGATGAAATCTGAAATATCGTTAATATATTGGAGATATTTGGAAAAAAGATTTTCAGAAGATTTTGCATCACAACTTGGCAAATGGGGATATATCGGGGATATTTTACCAAATACCATTGATATTGCAAACCATGTTTACAAGGTAATTGAAAAGGTCTGGGTTAGAAGATTTAAAAAGATATTGCCTTTGGTAATCTCAATGTTCCAAGGAGCTTTCATTGAAGGGAGATAGATCATCGATCAAATAGTGGTAGCAAATGAATGTGCACAAAGAAGAGAATGAGAAGGGGAAAAGGTTTAGTTTGCAAACCAGATTTAGAGAAGGCCTATGATCTAGTGAATTGGTCTTTCCTCCTTGAAATCTTAGAAAGGGTCGAGTTAGGTGACAAGTGGAGAATGTGGATTAAGGGGTGTTTAAGTTTAGTGCACTATTCAATTTAGCTAAATGAAATGGATAGGGACTTTTTTCCAACTAAACAATGGTTGAGATAGGGAGATCCTTTATCCCCTTTCCTCTTCACTTTAGTAGCAGATGTCTTAAGCAAGATGATTGTCAAGGCTGATCAGTATAAGGTATTTAGAGGCTGGAGGGTAGGCAAGAATGAGGTGACAGTCTACCACTTGCAGTTTGCAGATGATATAATCTTGCTATGTGAAGGAGGTAATCAAAATGACTTGATGAATTTAAAGGAACTCATAACTACTTTTGAGTCAGTACCCAATATGGGGGTGAACTTGGGAAAGAGTTGTGTAGTATGGGTTTATATGCAGGAGGAAGAACTGAGTGCTGGTAGAGATTCTAGAGTGTGAGGTAAGGAATTGGCCTTTGGATTAACTTGGGCTCCCATTAAAGGGAAACCTGCGATTAGAGGATTCTTGGAAACTAGTAGTAGAGAGATGCACTAAAAGGCTAGCACTTTGGGAAAAGCATTAACATTTCAGTGGGAGGAAGGATAACTTTGATTAAGGCAACTTTAGCTAACCTACCCATCTATCATCTTTCCACCTTTAGGATTCCAGCTAGAGTTATGGGTCAGCTAGAGAAAATTATGAGGGATTTCCTTTGGGAACCAAGGGATGAGAAGAGGGACCATTTGGTGAAGTGGGAGCAAGTAAGTGTTTTAAAAGCGCAAGGCGAGGTACGTGCCTTTTTGAGGCAAGGCGCAAAATTAAAAAAAAAAGCTAAAAAATCAAAAATAAATGCAAAAAGTTCAAAAATTATAAAACATAATATCAATAAAAATATAAACTTAAGTTTTAAGATAAATGTTTTAAAAAACCTATTATCTAAAATTAAAATACATAAATATAATATGTAAAGCATATTCAAATGAGAATTTAAAAATGAAATCAAACATATAAAACATTTTCAAGCATATAAAACCCACAATCTCTTTTTTTTTCTCAATTGCATCAAGTAGCTAATGTGACATATTACATTCCTAATTCTACGAGCCACCTTTGTGCCACGCCCCTCGAGGCAAGCCCAAACAAGGCCATGTTAGGGTCTTAAATTCTTAGTTTTCATACAAATAATAATAATTTTATAGTTTTATTTGCTTTTAAGAAGATATTTTATTAGGATGAATGAATGGAAAACATTACCAAATAGGGGATTCTTGAAGCTCCAGTGGCCTTGTTTGGGCTGGCCTTGAGGGGTGTGGCACGGGGGTCCGGGGGCGGAGCCCCCAGCCCAGCGGCCAGACTCAAAAAAATGGAAAAAGCGGCAAATTTTCAAAAGGCGCACGCCTGGGCTAAGGCGCAAGGCGCACCAGGCGTGTGCCTTTTGAATGGGCTGCGCCTAGGCCCTGGGCGAGGCGCCTACCCTAAAATGCCCCTCGCCTGTGCGCCTAGGCGCACCTGAGGCGTGCCTTTTAAATCACTGTTAGCAAACCTAAGGAGCAAGGAGGACTTGGAATAGGGAAACTAATTTGTAGGAATACTACACTCTTAGTGAAATGATTATGGAGATTTTCTTTGGAGAGTGACAGGCTTTGGCATGAGGTAATTGCAAGCATTCACAGGACACTGAATAATAGATGGGATGCAAAAGTAGTTTCTTACTCAACAGCACTATCTCCTTGGAAATCAATATAGAAGACCCAGGTTTCATTAATTTCATTAGATATGATGTGGGATGTGGGACCCTAGTACTGTTCTGCGAAGACCTCTGGCTGGCTGAAACCCCTTTTCAATTTGCTTTTCCAAGCCTTTTCTCATTGTCTAACTATAAACAGCAGCCTATATCAAGACCTGTTACCTTCTCTCCTTCAAGGGTAAATTGGGATTTTGGTTTTAGAAGGGGACTGAAGGATAATGAGTGTGAAGCACTTATTCAACTATTGAACAAATTTCAATTAACCCTTCTGGATCAGTCAATGGAGGACACTAAAATGTGGTCTGGCACACCTAATGAGGTTTCACTTGTGCTTCCTTCCATAATACTTTTGCAACCCAACAATGTGGGTGAGAATTTCCCTGTGAAAAAGATTTGGAGCAAGCCTATCCCACCTAAAATCCAGGCTTTGTGTTGGGAAGTCTTTCTTGGAAAGGTAAACACTAGTGATATGCTTTAAAAAGAAGGTCAAACAAATGTATATCACCTTACATGTGCTTCCTTTGCCTTGCAAGTGGTGAATCCTTATCTCATTTATTGCTTTCTTGCCCCTTTGTACTTTGTATTTAGGGCCTCTATTGTTCTCTTCTTGGTTGCAGGTGGACTTCACTGTAGGATGTAGTATGCCTTTTCAGCCCAAGTTTCCTAAGGCATCCAAGAAAGAGAGAAAGAATTATATGGAAAACAATTCAGGCTCCAGTAGTGTGGACTGTTTGGGAGGAAAGGAATGGGAGGATATTTAATGAAAAAAGTAGATTGAAAGAGGAATTGTTTCAACCCATATAAATCAGAACAGCATATTGGACAAAGACACTTGATCTATTTAAAGAATTCTTAGTGAATGATATCCTAAGGGCATAAACTAAAGTGGCAGCTTCTTCTAAAGAAAAGGAAAAGGTATTTATGGAATGATTATCCCCAACGGCTAATAAAATAAAGCTAAATTTTGATGGGAGCTCCATGGGAAGCATGGGAATGGTAGGTACTGGAAGAGTATTTACAGATTGTACAGGAAAAGTTTTGGTTATGCTTTCAGGACCTTTGGGGTTGGGAGATTCACTAAAGGTTGAACTAATGGCACTACTACAAGGTTTAAGAATTGCTAAGCAATCAAGATTTCAGCACTTTGAGGTAGAGGGAGATTCAAAGATGATCATTTCTTGCACCAGGAGTAAGCAACTTGTGCCATGGATCTATAAACATGAGTTTAGAGAAATAGAGAGCATCACACAGGAGCTGAACATAACTTTCAAATGGGTTAGAAGGACAGAATGGGATGGCCAACACTTTAGCAAATTAAGGGGTATATAGGCAACAGTTCTTCTGGGCACTATTGTAATTTTGTAACTTTGTTGGGATTGGAATGAGTCCCTATGGGTGATCAAAGAAAGGGAATTCAGACATCTAAACATCATTGTAATATCCAGTTTCTTATTTTAATATAATTTTCAATCTTCTTGCTGATCAAAAAAAAAAAAAAGAAAGAATTCAGACATCTAAACATAATTTGCATAACACAGAGAAATTTGAAAAAAAGGTTTTCTAACCAGGTCAAGTAGGGAGCTTTCTAAACAAAATATGCAAAATGCATATAAAAATATTGAAAAAGGTTATCTAATCACGTAGGGAGCTTCCCAGCACAACGCAACTCTGTCTCTGCCATGTAGAGAGATCCCATGGCTGATCCAGACTGCCCATCAGGTAGGGAAACCACCAGATTAGCCATGTGGTTTGTTCCAAAGTCTGTATCAAGCCTATATCCAACCTTTTATTGAAGCTTTGGCCAGTCACATTGTTGCCATCAGTGTCTTTTTATTTTTAATTTGAACACTATCAGCAAAGGAAGCTTTGTTGCGAACATCTTGCATGTTCTCTTGGGCAAAATTTTTCTATAAATAAAGGACTGGAAAAGGAACATGAGAATCCTTTTGAGCCTAAAAATAAATTGCCATGTGGAAGATTTCTGGGTCATTTAGGGGAAGTTCAGTAAACAAATCAACTAGGAAACCTATTCCTTATATACATGATACCATGATTAAAAGAAAAACATTCAAAAGGGTGAGATAAGTTTTCCTATGAGGGGCAGGAAAATTATAATACTTCAGGCAGTAATCCCTAATACGCATACCAACATGGAAACAGATATAGGAAACAGGGATTTGACTCCCCATTTCAAACCAAAAAAAAATCCTAGACAAGGATATAGGAATCCCACATAATATGAACACAATGGTTTTATATCTAGTTTTTCAAGCTAAACATCATTTCTCAAAACTTATGTCTTGCCAAGTTTAATTAAATCTCTAACATAAACAGATTCCTTCATACCATGATTTTCTAAAATATACCATTTTGCATATTTTAAGTTAATGCTCTAGAGTATATATAGAATTGTTCATGCATAATCTGGTTTCTTATTGGCTGCATATCATGTCCAATACAAGTACATGACACATACAGGTATCTGAGTATCATAGCTTTCAGGATATTTTGTAATTGGAGAAAAGTTAGATGTGGGTGCACTGAAAAAGGGCCATTTTGGGCCCTCCGTTTATTGAATGCCACGTCATCTAACTGCTTAGTATATTGAAGGGATCAAAACTTCTTTTACAGGTTGTCTTTCTCTCTTTTATTAATTTATCAAAAAAACATTAAAGATTATGATAAAGAGAAATTAACAAATACAAGGTTAGCCTTGGTAAGTTCATCAGGATGTTCAGGATATCATTCTAAATGAAATACTTACCTCTGAACCATCCGATGCCCTAGTGCCTGAATTTCTGGGCGAAAATGCAGTGCATGGAAGGCCACCCTGCACCTAAGTCTTTGATAATCGGACATGGAAGGAGGTAGGATAGACTGAAAAGAAGATATGCATATTAGAGGGAATATTGCACTTTAATCATTATTTGATGACTAGACATACTAACAAACACTAAGAATACAAATAACCATTTAATCATAAATGAGAATGATGATGATAATAAAGGGTAACCATAACAGGATTCATTTACTTCCAATATCAGCCAGCAGGTCATCAATAAATATCATATAGTAGAAAAAAACAGGTTTCTTACGAGTTTCATTTTATGACATAAAGCAAATAAAGTCAAAATCAATTCAAAACCAAAAGACCATGAAAATAGAATGATGTATCTATAGGAGACACATTGTTTTACTCAATGTAACACATCTTCATGGTTGCAATTTCAATACTGATCGACATTTTGCCATGTAGAGTTGGGAAAATTTCGGGGATATTTCACTGATTTTGCTAAGACATTTGGAAAATCTAAAAAATCAACGGAATTTTCTAAAAACATTGAATTAGCTAATAAGCATTCAAGAAATCAATAGAAGTATAATTACACATTTAGGGCTCAACAAACCATAGCAAAAAACTATACAAATCAAATAAGAGAAGATTTCCGTCATTTATTTGCCATTTTGACTTTTTTTTTCTTTTTTGTTGTTATATGTTTTGATTAGATTGAGAATCCTTTGTTGTAGTTGTGCGCCTTTTCTTTTTCATTTGAATTATAGTGACTTAGAAAGAAAATCATATTAAAACAATAAGCTAATTGTCCAATAACAAATTACATTTTTGTTCTCTTAGGAAAAGATTTTAAAAAATTATGATGATTTTAACGAAATTTTAGAAAGTTCTCAATGATATTCCAAAATACTAAACCTGAAATGTATAGTCTATCAAGGAAATTTGAAATATAGCTAACATATGGGCAACCCTAGAAAAATGAGGTGATTTCAGGAAAATTTCACCAAATTTCATTTATTTTACAAACCATACTCGTCACAAGAATGTGTACTCACATTATCAATCAGTTCCAATCAGTTGTTAGAGAACCGGACCAGACCAGCTGGTCCAACCAGAAAATTGTGAACTGATCCACTGGCAGGTTCAATCAGGCTCCAAACCTGTGCTGAAAAAAACCTGGCCATAACCAGCCAACCAGTCGTTACAACTAAGGAACCAGTGAGCCAGTCCCAGTTTCATAAAACCAGGGAACCAAAGGCACCCTGCCCCAATTTTTGCCAAAAAATGCCTTTCCTGGCCTTGAATCTTAATTTTTAGTATAAAAAATTAAAATTAAAATAAAAAATACATATATTATATGCAGAATACAATTATACATGTATATATGTATATTATATAATTATATATAGGATGACAAGTCAACCGGTTGACTAGTTCGACCCAGCCTGTTGAACCGGTGACCTGTGATCCAGAAGAAAAATGGTTTTACCTTTGGGTTGGTTCTCTTAACAGTAGCTACAATGTACTCAAGACTTTTACAACATAGAAACACACTGCACCTATTAGAGATAATGCTTTTCTTTACAAGCCTTTTGTGCAATGACAATATTCAGGATGGCTTTTGGAATTTACACTATTTTTAACTTTCACATTTTGTATATCATTATCAAGTGACTCAATTATAACTTTCTCTTGCTAGGAATTATTTTTTATTCGCACCATGTATCAACAGGAGAAAGTGCCCACATTTTCAATCAGTTCCGATGTTCTCAAGATTTCAACATAGAAACACATTTCATCCTCCGTTTTTGATAAATAAAACACATTGCACCTATTAAAAATATGACTTTGTTTATAGCCTTTATTGTACAATGACAATATTCAGAACTGAAGTCACTTAAAGGAACCTAGGAGTAGCTTCAATAGGTGATAAAATGAGAGAAAGTAGAATAAAATGGTTTAGTAAGATGTAGTGGTCTATTGTAAGTTGAAGGGACTAGAAAGGCTAGGAGCAGACGACAAGGGACATGAGTTGAAGTAGTAAGAAATGACTTAGCACTCGTTATTTAACAATGGATATGGAACTGAACAGAAAAGAATGGTGAAACAGGATTCATGTAGCTAACCCCACATAGCTGGGATAAGGCTTAGATGATGATGATGATGATGTGTATTGTTACCAAGAGACTCAATCAACTATAAAAATTTCTCCAAGGATGCAAGAGGGCTGAGCCACTGGTCCCTTAAATTCTCAGGCTAGCATCAATTTCTTCTTTCCAGTTTGAATTTTCACTATTCTAGAAATCATATAAATGTACTTATTGACAATGTACCTAAATTTCTTTACTATGTTTAACTATGCTGTATAGAATTTTTATCTGAATATTTTACCAATGCCTTGTCTGTCCACTCCTAATCAGACATTTTCATCTCAATCAATTTTCTGTAGAATAGGTAAATTGTGAAGCCATCAGGTATTGTAGACTGAATTCTGAAATGTTGCTCTTAATGATCAGTATAAGTCTACAGTAAATCCACCTATGTTTCTCTAACAACCCGAAGGTAAGAAGATCAGCAAATGAGATGGCTGAGTCTCTTGCAAAACAAGGGGTTAACAGGGATTCTTTATTTTAGGCTGCTTTGTAATTGCTTATAGTTTCTTTCTCTAGTTGGACGTAATCTCTTCTTAAAGTCTTAATAGTGAGGCTGCATCTCATGCCTCTCTGAGATGCTTGTAACAGTCCTAATTTTTGATTAATGAATTATCAAAAAGTAAAACATAATACCAATTAGCTCAACAGCTTTCACACATTAGTGCTCAAACTACTGCTTGTTGCATCTTACCAAGTCAGAAAAAGAAGCATGCACTAGCAGACCCAGCTTTATAGACAACAAGCAATAGCTGGGAACAAATTTTATAGCCTCTTCTTTTTTATAAATTGGAAGAAAATTAGTTACTCCCCAGTGGTTTTGAAGTCCCAGATAACTGATGAAGAAAATAACTCCACATTTTAGGAAAATAAATATGTTAGGACAATAAAAGATCTAGAATGTCATATTATATAATTTCAATCAAGGAAGATGACTAATCAACAATGATTGATTCTACTGATCAGGAAAAAAAATAATTAAAAAAAAAAAACATGAAAGAAGGAAAAAAAAGAAAGAACAGAACGATGATGTATGCACTCACAGTTATAATATTAAGACCCAAATTAAATCACTTGTAACCTATAATCTATGAAAATAGATATGGATGTCAAGCTTCAGCGTGGACATGAAGTGTAAGATAAAGCAATTCCTAGAACATCAAATTATGTTACTAGCTCTGTGATATGCACAAGATGGTAGATTCTAATAAGCTATTAACATTATGTCTGTGTATAATGTATATATAGATATATTCATGTTACTACCTCTATCATATGAAAAATATACTAGGCTTTCTTAACAATCTAATGTAAAGTTAAATCATTGCTATGAACATCACAAGACTAATGTTTTCCACTTTTCCTCTCATGAGCCAAGTTTGCTGCTAGATTTTTCCTTCCTACTTTTACCGGTTTTCTAGCCTATGATACCTAGGTACCTGTACATGCCAAGCATACTGGTATCAGTCACAACACTTACCTGATATGACATCATATATTGCATTGACACCTCTAGAATATACTTTATATACAACAATTAAAATATTTAAAATGCTATGTTTTTTATTGATGAATTATTTAAAATGCTATGTTGTAACATATAATGCTATAAAAAATCTGTATATATTAGAAGTTTAATTAAATTTGACAAGATATTAGTATTGGGAAGTGATACTTAGCTTTATATGTATTTCCTCTCTAAAATTAATGAAAATGGAAATTCTTTGTTAAGGATGTTCAGACATCCAAGGATTGAGCAATGGAAGAGTTTCAGAAGATAAAGCATTGGAGAACCGAGGTTGCCATTGAAGCGAAAGTGTTGCTGTTTGAACAAGGGAGGTTGGCAGGTAAGAATATCTTGAAGATTAGAGGAGGAAGATCTATGATCGTTTTGGCAGAGGAGACAATACTATTGCTTAAAGGCTTCGTAGATGGTGTGATTTTCTCCCTAAAGAAAGATGGGTGGAAGAACACTATGATAGTCGATGGGAAAAAATACAAAGCAGAAATAAAAAGGAACTTGAAAGGATGGTATATTACTATTTTGGAATCTTTCGATGCAAATAGAAAACAGAGCGTCTGTGTGACGGAGGGAAAAAAGCAAATAGGGTGGAAGACTTTAACCAAGAAGTTACAGCTTTTCTTGATTGAGTCCGACAAGGCATGCCCTGTCGTTATCAATGGAGGACTTGGAGGGAGTAAAGGGCAGAAAGAGTCTGAGGGGAGAACGGAAACAAGGAGCGAGGAGATGGAGGGGGTCGGATTATCACAGTGCCAGTTGCAGAAACCTGACCCTATGCCATTACACTGGCAAAAATCAGTTCGAAAACTGTTGGTGCCAGTAGATAGGGGGGATTGGGAAAATCGATTGGTGGTAACAGTGAAGGAAGAAAAACCAGATTGGAGAAGAATTTGTGACTTAGTTGTGGAGAAACTAGGAGTGGAAGATTCTGCAACAATTATCCCATTCGAAAATAGAAAAGCTATCTTAGAAATTGGAAACAGAAAGGTGGGGTTCACAACCGTAGCTTCAGGCAAGTGATTAATCCAAATACAAAACTGGACCCCTCTGTGCAATGAAAAAATCGTCCCAGGAGGAAGCTTTTTTATTAAACTTGTGGGACTTCCGTTTCACCTCTGGAACGAAAAGTCCATCGAGCAAATAGTTTAAGCGTTGGGAGGAGCGATGGTGGATTGCAATCTGTCAGTCTTATCTCCTGCAAAAATCAAAATCGCAGGACTGAAGCCTGATGAAGTGCCTTGATCGATCAACATCCTCTCAGATGGGATGTGGAACAGAGCTTGAGTACTTTCAGAAGTCGAAGTGTCCTGGTGGGAGGAGGGAGCCAAGCTTGAAGACGATGATGTGGATGTTTGGAGTACATGTCCTCTCTAAGACATCTCAACAGCCAAAATTAAAAAATCAAAAAGCA